GCTCCTAGTAGCGTCCTTGATCCTAGTAGCGATGCCCTTTGCTCCTACTAGCGTCCTCTACCCCCCACACGCCTACTACATGTGGAGGCATCGAGCCGGAGCCCTCATAATCTGTGACAATGTCCGAGGTCGGAGACATCTCTGCGTTCTGCCGAGGCAAGCTGCGGGCTTGGCGAATCCAATCATTTTGATCGGGCCAATGGTGTGAAGTCTTTCACATTTCAATTGAGGGCACAGTTCAATTAAAGCATCTTAAAGGATTGGCAAAAACATTCGGAGGAAGGGGATGCGAACATCTGGACCGGTTTCATGAGGTTTCTTCGCCTTAGGCGTTTTTGCGATCTATGTTTTAAAATACTGTATATAAATAATATGTAAGCGCGAACCGACCAATGGCCACCAAGACCTGCGGATTCTCCCCAAAAAGTTGTCTTTGCTGCGCCAAGACCATTTCCTCACGCTGAATGTCTTTTTCAATAACGGCCACATGTTCTCGGTCCTGCACCAATTGCCGCAAGCTTCCAGCCATCAACCTGCTGACAGAACACGGCATGTTGCACCCAGCGAAAGCAGTCTGCAGCCCCATGCAAAGTACAGTTGAAAGTGGCCGCGTCCTCCACAAGACCCTTTCTTTAAGGTCGAGAAAAATGGTCAGTGCTGGAGAATCTGTCCCAATTGTGGGAAAGATACATCTTGACGGGACTTGCCAATGAAGGACTGGGAGAGGTGAGGCCTGGCCTTTGAAGGACGGTCTTGGATCTCTGGCGCAAGAGCTCCTGCTGGCGCTTTTTGCAGCGTGCCCAACACTAAACACAAACAAGGCAAAGCGACCGTTCTCAGCAGACCATGTTTAGCTTGACAAATCTAGTGGACATTGCTGTTGGTCTGACGTCTCGAAGAAAGCAAACCAATTTCAATCCCCATCGCTCCATCTTGTGTTGATGTCAGAGTCTCTGCTGTAATTGCAGAAGTAAGGTCAACGGCGAGGTCTTCTCGCCAAACCGATACGACATTATAAGGCATCTATAAATCTATGAATCTCTATGCCAGCACGTTCAGCTCCAGCCAACCTCTATACTGGAGGTATCTGTGCCAGCACAATATATTCAAGACGCCATGGCGCACCGTCATGTGCATATCCCAGCTTATCAAAAGGCGCCAAGCCTAGCACAGACTCCGCCAGGGGTCGGTCAAGTCCTTTCTTGGATCGCGTCATCAAAACAGCGTCCTCGTCTTCGTCGAGGAAAGGCACCCGTGCCCAGCCTACGATGACATCCTCAAAAGTGGCCTTCAAGCTTTCAAGAATTTGAACCAACTCATCAAAAAGCATGCTCACTTGCCTTGCACCATCATCTGGCACCAACAACCGCTTTGCGTCAGATGCAGCTCTTATGGAGAAAACAGCCAAATCAGATTGGCCATAAACCAAGTATCCTGGGACATAAGGCATGAAGTACTTTGGATCGAATTCATTCTTGATGTCAATGCGCAAATTCTGACCAGCTCCGGTACCTCTGCTCACTCCATTTAGGAAAAACATGCCAAAAGTCTCTAAAAGAAAGCGACGATCGCTCACATTGTCTCCAACTTCCACAACACCCAGTGTTTCCAGCTGATCCATATCAAGTTCTGCAGAAACTTTTGGGCTTTCTTCATCCACCACGCGGCGATTTGCTTCGAAGCCATTGCCATTTCCAGACACCCAATGTATAATTTGTGGTGAGCGTAACCACTCCATATGAAGATGAAAGGGCAATTTGTTCGAATAGTCCAACACTGAGTGGCCAATCTTGTGGATGGTGGTGATGTTTGCCTTGACCTGTGCCTCCATGCTGAAATCCAAGTGATCAAACTCCCTAGGCACATGTGGATGGCTGTGATAAAATGGACCTGGAGTTGCTCCACTCAAGAACAAAGCAGGACATCGCGGTCGGAGTCGCTCCACCGTGACACCACGGACGATGGAAGTGCCTATGGAGTCACAGAATTTGCAAAGACCCTTTCGTAGAAGCACAGCCCAAGCCATGACTTTGGATTCAGACGATTGTGAGTTTGAAGTATATAGTTGAGATATGTTGAGATTGAGATGAGGTTGCGAGGCACCCTAACGGTGATTCATGCCATTTCACTGCTGAATCATTTGTCTTCTTGCAATCCATGCTGGGTTTTGCCATAAAGTCAGCCAGCCTTGAAACTGTTGCTACAAAATCTAAAGTCTTACTTGAAACAAGCTGTTTGCAGGAACCCATACTGCACTGTTCAAAACGCGCATCCCTGAGGGTATGGGAGATCTCCAACGAAGCAGTGCTCCTAGCCCACGGGCAAACACAACTCACAAGATTGTGTAAATACCTCTGAAATCCTCTGAGCAGACTGAGTCAGCTCGACCGTGACCTATTCAGTGCTTTCATGAGGAGAGTCTCACAACATGTTTAAGTCCACGCAGTCCAACTTCAGACCACCCCAGCGCTTTCGGGACACTCCTGAGAGAACTTCTGGGGGCAGAAGACTACAGAGACTTCCTGCAAAATCGCAAGTCTGCTGCCATCATGATGCTTGGCATGGGAAAGCACCCTGCAAAGTCAGGCCGGTTACTTGCTATTTTGGGTGGGTGTCTCCCTTTGTGTTCATCTGCAAATCACATCAAATCACCCTAGCCACCAAGCAAACTCAGACCGAAGAGACTCATCCACTCGTCACGCCTTCAAGAGATTCACAATGAGCTGCACCAAGTCCTCAGGCCCTTTGGCCAAGCCGCTGGAGGCAAAGCGCATCGGCGCCCGGATTGTGAACTCCTTGAGGAACACCTCGCCATAACCAAGGTGAGTAATACCAAAGGAGGATAGGAATAGGAAATCAAATCATAGGAATTGGATGGAATTGGTAATTGATACAAGTAGCAGTAGTGTAGGAAAAGGAGATATGATGAGCCATGTCTATTGATGTCTACCAGTGCAGGAACCTCACAAAGACAAACATCGTGTACAGCCACTGGAAGCCGAAGGTGTACGTCCAGCTCATGTTGCGGACTGTCGCGAATTCAAACTCAACAAATACGAAATACTAGGAGCAATGTTCGCTACTAGGAGCAAAGGGCGCCGCGACTAGGGGCTCCTGGCATCGCTACTAGGAACAAGAAGCTACTAGGAGCTTTTTCACTGCAGCACTCCGTGAGGCAGCGTACTACGAACCACCAACATCGCGGAATCCTCCCGTCCTCAGGTCCTCCAAATCCCTCCGTGTCTGCGCCTTCCCCGTGAAGCGGAAATCATCGCAAATCACAGGCAGTGCTTTGCAGCTCAGCTCCCCAGCGCACACAAGGCTCTGGCAGCAGTGACGTGTGGTGACCAAGCTGGATTCATCTGGCCACAGAAAGTCTAATAAATTATATCAAAGAGTCAGCAAGACTTCTTCTAAAGGAGTGCAGGGTCAAGCAAAGCACGGAATAAAGTCGATCAACGCTTTGTCAAACCATGCCCCCTGCTCACACCTCAGGTTCGTCTCCGACCAAAAATGGACTATAACTATAACACACAATCACAGTAGCAGTTTGCTTGGTTCGGATTCTCAAAAAGGATAGTTGTCCCCCACCAACACGCGTGGGAGAGCATGATGTCACTCGTTCTTGGACTCCTTGCTTAGGTTCCTTGCTTTTGGCATGGCCTGGCTCAGACTGAACTGGAGACCTTTGACTCTTCGGCCTGGCTTTTGAAGCCTGGGTCTTTGGTTCAAGCTGAACTCGAGCCTTCATGAACGAAGGCTGGTAGAAGGCTCCAATCGAGAGCCTTATTGAGCTGCAAAAACAGTTCAGTCTGGTGTATTTTGGCCAACAAATGCATTTGATAAGCGATAAAGCATAGCACAAGACTTGCCGTGTGTTCAGTGGTGGAGAAATGCCAAGAAAAATACACCTGTCTGAAAGTCCTGAATGTCCGAGTCTTCTTCCCTTCCTTCTTCCCTTGTCCTTGTCCTCGCCCGTGTCCTTGTCCTCGCCCGTGTCCTTGTCCTTCCTATCCTTCCTATCCTTCCCCTCCCTGCCTTCCTTCCTTCTCAATCAGCCCTTGGCCACCAAACCAGCTACCTCCTTTCCTAGCAAAAACATATTCAGTCCGAGTCCTCCCACTTGAAGCTGTGAGCGATGGCAACCTCCAAACAACTTGGGCACACAGAACTACGCGGCAGCAACATGCGCAGCAATACAGCAAGTGGAGTGTTTGGCTAGGCACGAGGGATGAATTACCATCGGTTTAGCAAATGGAGCTCAAAACCTATCGAGCTGTGCAAAAAAAACACTTTCGCGAGCTTTCGCGGACGGAACTGATTTTGAAAGCTTTTATTGCAAGCTTTCCGGGGCTTTCGCAAGCATTCGCCAATGAAAAGTTTGCACAATCTTTAGCAAATCCTTCACAACTGCATGTTTTGCTTTCGCAAAGGCATAATTCATTAACCTCTCTTCAAACCGTTATTTCGGAAGTTTTGGCCGCTGCTCAATTGTCTTCCCCACCCTCTCCAAGTGTAGCAAAAGGTCTACTCTTCCAGTTAAGCAAGTTTCTGGACTAGGTGATCCAGCAAAATCTCAGTGGCAATTAGATTTGAAGAGTCCACCAAAAGTTGGCTTGTGTCAGTGCATGGAAACAAAAGCAGAAGCTCTCCTCCCATCTCCAATGAGGAAACCTAGACACTGTCCTTGACACCAAGAGGCATGAAAATCACTGTGCTGGTGGAGAGTGGGAGCGTAGTTTCATGCTCCAGCAGGAAATGCGGAGTAAGCTGCCTCGCGAGCAAACTCGGACTCCGGACCGCTTCAGTCAAGCTTTGGTCTACAGTATACTCAACAGATTTCATGGAAAGGCCCCGCCTCATAAACCAGACCATATTTGCACTTGTACACTGTTGTGTACGAGCCCTCTTCGTGTTCGGTAAGCACTGGGGGAAACTCCCGCCCATCGACAGTAATTAGACCTGGATAAACCAATTCCACTAGAAGGTATACTATCAGCGCCACACGAACCCCGACCGCCACAACAACAGTTCGATCCGAGTTTCGGAGCAGCAGCGGTGGTGAGAGACATCAGATTCCTTGGCAATCGCATTGCCGCACTGCTCTTCAGAATATACGTTGCGCTTTTTTATTGTGCAAATGCCTGGCCTTCAGTTAATGGCCGCCCAAACCCACTGCATCTGGCGGGCCCCTTGTAGCTATACATGGATGCAGCATGCATCAAGGATCTTCAATACTTCATTCTACTGGAGGTTTCCACACAGCTGTCCCAGCATTGCAGCCAAAGCGCTTGACAAGCACAAGTCCAGCTGCACAAGCTTCCATGTTGCTATGATCTGCCACCAAGCAGACCTCAATTAGGGCACAAAGGCAAAGGTCCAAATCCTTCTGTCAGGCTGGACACCTGTACCACACCTTCAGCGGAGAAGTTCTGAGTGCTCCAACTTGGATTCCCTCGCCGCCACCGGCAAGCTCCGGCAAAATCACCTACGCGGACCAACCCATTGGGTCAGCCGATCGCGTCACAGGATGTTCTTTCGCCAATGAAAGACCTTTAGGAACCCGTTACAGGGCTGCCATGAGAGCGTTCATGAGGAAATGTTGTCTTTTGATGTCTTTTGGCAAAATATCTCTGATTGAACAAAAGTTGTTGACTCACCGCAAGGTTTCTCAGTGTTGTCTTATCCGCAAAACCATAGCGGCAAGAAGCGCCTTGCCACTAAAGGAGCCAGACATTAGGGCAGCTGCTAAGGTGTCCATGACCTGGGTGCCCATGGGTGCCCAGCATCAAGAAACAGGTTCAATGTGTTAACCCGCAAAGCCCCCCCACATCACTTTGATCTGTCTGGGGGGCAAAGGACTTCGAACATCACTGGGTCACGAGGTCTTCAATTTATTGGCCAGGGGAAACGCAGCTCCCGAATAGCTTAAAGGTGGCTATGATGGCCGCACGTCTCTGTCTAACCTCTGGGTGAACAAAACGCACGGCTACATTACCCACAGGGAAAGCTCCACATATCAGGCGCGTAACAGTCAGAAACAAGATTCCCACAATATGGATGTCCGTCACTTCAGCCAGTTTCCTGATTTGTAAACTTTTTCATCTGAGTAGACAACTTCTTCAACTTCACAGACTCATCGAGCTCATGGCATTCGAGCAGTTTAGACTGCGCATCTGGGGCCGAGCGACACGACTGTCCAGGCTGCGGGGAAGGCGCACATAGGGCAAGGAGCGGAACCAGGGGAGCATGTCCTGGCGAAAAGAAGCAGCCACCAGTGGTTAGTGAAAAAGGCCGAGCAAAGAGACTGCACAATTACGCAAGTCACAAGGCAAATTGATGTATATATTATATAATCATGTATAAATATATATACAGTATATATATAAGTCCTCTGGCTCAAAAGCCTCGGACTTTGTGGAGGACAGGCCTCCCGCGGCCCAGGGTTTCCGTCCCAAGCGGAAGACTGGGTGTCCACAAGGGATCCCTCCCAAGGATCTTGCCATACATAGGTCTTTGGTTGAGGTGATCCCTTGAGGACCTGAGCCATGGTGGGTTCTTTGCTGGACGGAGTGGCGGATCAAGCTCCAGGCCATGTTCGCTGGTTCCGCCTGTGAGATGCATGTTCTCATGTTCGAGGACATGGTCCTGGTGTTTGGGGAAGCGGTCGACATCGTTGGTGACCATGTGACAGCTGACCTTTTCCAGTTCCGGCCGGGTTCTGGTTTTTTGGGTGCTGGGAGCAATCGCATTTCGTGTGTGCTTGGTATCCCTCAGCTGGCCAACCGGCCCATCAACATGTTCAAGGGTGCGCATTCATGTGCTGTGGAAGGATCAGCGGGGGTGACATGACCTCATCCATTGAGTTCACTCCTCAGGCGGCTGTTTACACCAGACCAGATTTCTCACCTGAGTTGGCATGGACGGCAGTGCACATGTTTGCTGGCGGTTTCAACGGTTGGGAGCAGGCCGCGCAATGGGTCAACAAGTCGGACATCCCTGCTCTTTTCAGCCAAAGGATTGAAATCGACGCCGATGAACAAGTGATGCATTTGTGGGAGGTCAAATACCAGCAGAAGGTGAGGAAGACCCCTATTTCTGCTTTCGGTCAATGGGACCACCGTGGACATGTTGGTGTGTTGGGTGCGGTACATGACAAATCCATCTTGAACCTGCTTCAGAGCCAGGTCAGTGTCTGTATCTCTATGAGCCCCCCGTGCCAAAGTTGGTCACGTGCTGGGAAACAGAAAGGGCTTTCATCCGACAATGGGATCGCCTTTGCCGACGGTTTGTTCTTGAGTTTTTGTATGCAAGCGCTGACCATTGTTGCAGAATGCTCCGATGAGATCACAGCGCATGCACATTTTCAGATTCTCAAGCAATTGGCAGGCCAGTTCGGCTATCGACTGATCTGGTCCCAGACGGTTTTCTTGCACCGGATCTCCCCCCACTACCGTTCCAGATGGCTAGGAGTGTGGGTTAGGGCGGATCTTTCTGCACTTCCATTCGACACAACTGTGCATCCTTCCGTCCCGTCACGGCCCACTTGGACTCATGACGACTACGACTTCGCCCTGCCCAGGTCATGGCTCAACCAAATGCTTCTGAGCGATTCGGAGAAAGCGATCTATGGTGATGCCTCCCTCCTGCCTGCAACCCGCAAGCCAGCTGGGGGCTCGACTGCGCTCACACAAACGCAGGTCCGCGTGTTCTGCAGCTATCTGGCATCATGCCAACGCTGTGTGCCAGCTATTCGGATCAACACAACTTGGATTTTCAGCATGTCTCTAAGAGGGGTCTTTTCACCATGTTGCAGATGCTGCCAGAAGGGTTCGCTTTCTTTGACCCTGCTAGATTCCTGGTTTTGCTGGGAGCCACGTGTGATCAGGTGTTGTCCACCAAGTTGCCTGAAGCCTTTCGGGTAGTAGGCAATGCAATCGCCACTCCACACGCTTTGTTGGCCATGTTGATCAGTTTTCAGTCGGCGCTGTCCATTCGCATTGACATCCAAGGTGAAATCCGGGCATGCTGGAACGCCAGATTGACCTCAGCCAACGCAGTGGTCTTTCAGATTGGCGACCATGTTCATATTGCGCGGCGTGCCAATTGTGCTTCCTTCCTCCAGGCGCAGCCCTTTCAGGGCACAGAGGGTGATTTCCAGCTGCATTTGGCTCTCAGGCCGGATGGCTCCTCGGGGTCTGGTCTTTTTGGAGCTCCCTCTACCATTGCGAACTGCCTCAAGGCCATGCTTGTGGGTCCTTCCAACGTGAGGCTCTCCATTCACGTTATGCACAACCAGCATCGCTTCGAGCAGGCCGTCACCTTGCAAGAACTCGCCAACATTAGCCTGACATGGCATCTCCACATTGGAGCACACACACTGGGGACTCTCTCTCTCGGCACCTTTTCACCACAGGCTCCACAGCAGCCTCACAAAAGAAAGCACGAGACCAGTGTGGTTGACATCTCTCCCACACTCCCGTTCAGCCACATCAGCAGTCCTGCACAAGAGCAACCAATTCTTGTCAAGCAGGCCAACTTTGAGCATACACTGCGTCACACGCTTCATCTTGGGCTTTTCCCACTTCTCGAGCACCTGGCACGGCCGCCAGTCCAGAGTTCAGGCAACTTTACAATACTGATGCCCGAGCATGGTGTTTCATTTGCGTGCTGGATTGCGTCAGCAGAACATGACCAGGCAGTCCACCAGATCCGCACCAGCCAAGGTGCCGGTCACAGTGTACAAGCAGTTCACCATTCAGTGCCTTCACTCCGTCATAGTGCTGGACAGCAAGCAGGATCCATGCCAGGAACGAAGTGCTATTCTCACATTTGAGGACCACCCGCCCTTTTGGGCTTGCTCAGTACCAAAGCTGCTTCATCCTGCACAGACATTCCAGTCCCAAGGAGAGACCTTCGTGGTACATGCAATCAACCACCGACCTGCAGGCACCCAGGCTGTCACCATCATGCCAGGCGACATGCTCAGCCTGCACCCGATCCCGATTCGAGCTGGAGGGCATCACAACACGCAGCAACCATTGGCTTTGGCACCCAATGTCAACTTCACCACCAGGGCGGAGTTCGCCGCCAATACCCATGGATGGCTTGCGGCTGATGAGATGGCACACGTCTGCCAAATGCTCCAATGGTCGTCAGCAGAAGCACCACGCTTCTCTCCACCGGTCTATTGGGATTGTGCCCAATCCGACTTCGATGAAGGGCCTTTTGGGCCACTGGCTGTGTCTGATGAAGGACGCACCAACATTCCCGTCCTTGCAGGGAATCACTGGTGTGCACTTGAAATCGTGCGAGACAACACAGGCGTCACAGTCACCACAGTTCAAGTTGCACCAGCATGGCACACAAGGATCATTCTCATTGCAGCCAGGATCCTTGAGATTGCACCTCACCGCGCGCGCATCCACCATGAAGCAAACGACCATATTCCACACCTGTGCGGGTGGCAGTTGCTTCTTCGTTGGGCCGTTGAACTTGGCATCCACGAGTCAATTGCCAGTGTTGACAGCCAAGCAGCCACCAGCCCCGAGCACAACGACCAAATCGCAGTCCTTTTGCAAGCCTCCATCGAAGACTGGCACCAGGCCAACGCTACACCGGCCCTGTGGGCCATGGCAGCGCGACTGCGCAGACATTTCTTTGTCACCTTGGCAAGGAAGGAGCTTCGGGAAGGGCACATTAACCAGAGGCCATTGCCACCGCGTATCCGCCAGTGTTGCAGCCCATTCAGCACACACCAGCTCACCACGAGCACATCAGGCACGAGCAGAGTGTGCTCCAGCGCATCAGCGACAAGCTGGATCGGCTCAACGTTCACCCCGGTTGGGTGACTTCCGACGAAATCGATTATGCTTTGGAGGGGCCCAGGACATTGCTCCCTGATACCCTCATTTGCCCACCAGCAGTGTGGAACGAGAACGCTGACTTGTTGCATTTCCCACATGCACCGGAGCCACCCTTCGCGGTGTACCAACACATCATTTGGGTGATTATGGACGGCAATCACTGGCTCATCGTTGAGTGCTACAAATGCCCACATCATGCACACTTCTATGTCAAAACTCCGCCAAACACCATTGGCAGGTTGCTTCCCTTGATCCAAAGGATTTGCTCCGACCTTGATTACAATGGCTCGGAGATCACACTCCACTGCCTGGATCAGGTCAACCCAGACGGCATGTGTGGGCAAGCAATTGTTGCTGAGATACACCACAGGTTGGGCATCACGCTGCCCCAACTTTCACCAAGCCAGCTCGCTGAGCTCCAAGCCAGCCCTCACGCACACCGGATTGCGGGTACACTTCAACAAGCACACACAGCATGGGCCGGCGCTTTGGCCCCTCCAGATCTAATCCGCTTTGCCGATGCAATGAGGCACCGTTTCCTGCTGAAAGCCAGCCGCAACCAGTTTCCAGTGCTGGCTTTTGCAGCCGGGGCAGGCTCTGCAGCTATGGATACATCCAGCCCAAAGCAGACCACCAGCACAGGCGGCCAGCCTGCTGCGTCTGCACCAAAGGACAAGCCTGATTTCCTGTGGCGCAACGACCCTTGGTTGAAGAAGTCCTCCAAGCCGAGCCAGGCAAGATGGGAAGATCTGACACTTCAAAGCCCCATCCCATTCCACGGTACGGATGGGCGGCCAATGGTCCAGACACACCGACTTCAAGTGTCACAGGCACAAGCTGGCATCGTGCTCACGACGAAGCAGCATGTCTCAGAGTTGGCAAAGTCGGCTGGCTCTTTGGACTTTGCCTTGCTGGTGCCCACGGTTGACGGTGTGAAGCCACCCAACCTGTTTCATGCCCTGGAAGGACCGTATGAGATTACGGTGGAAGATGGTCACAACCAAACCGCTTATAAGCGGCTGGTGTTGATGGCGGTGATCGCTGGCAAGATCACCTACAAATTACCAGAGCCCAAATTGAAACTCCACACAGCAGCGGTAGCAGAACTGGTCCTTGAAATCGACTCGAGACTGCACACAAGCTCCGATTTCAACGAGATGAAGGAACACCCACTCCAGACGTTCAAAAGTCTGCTCACTGATTGCCAGCCGGAGTTCGATACGGCAGCCACCCTATATGGCATTAGGGTCACCAGGCACCCAGGCAGTGGCAAGGCCGACCAACAACTTCAGTGTATGCTGAAGATTCCAGTCGCCCATCGGCCAACCATTCTGGAGGCATCAGGTCAGTCAGCGCTCCTGACGCGTGACTTCATCGACCATGCGACC